GCGTGGGTGTGACGGTGGGCGGGAGCGTCACGGGAGCGTGGGTGTGACGGTGGGCGGGAGCGTCACAGGAGCGCGGGCGTGACGGTGGGCGGGAGCGTCACAGGAGCGCGTGGGTGTGACGGTGGGCGGGAGCGTCACAGGAGCGTGGGTGTGACGGTGGGCGGGAGCGACACAGGAGCGTGGGTGTGACGGTGGGTGGGGGCGTCACAGGAGCGTGGGTGTGACGGTGGGCGGGAGCGTGGGTGTGACGGTGGGTGGGGGCGTCACAGGAGCGTGGGTGTGACGGTGGGTGGGGCGTCACAGGAGCGTGGGTGTGACGGTGGGTGGGGGCGTCACAGGAGCGTGGGTGTGACGGTGGGTGGGGGCGTCACAGGAGCGTGGGTGTGACGGTGGGCGGGAGTGTCACAGGAGCGTGGGTGTGTCGGTGGGCGGGAGCGTCACAGGAGCGTGGGTGTGTGACGGTGGGCGGGAGCGTGAGTGTGACGGTGGGCGGGAGCGTCACAGGAGCGTGGGTGTGACGGTGGGCGGGAGTGTCACAGGAGCGTGGGTGTGACGGTGGGTGGGGGCGTCACAGGAGCGTGGGTGTGACGGTGGGTGGGGGCGTCACAGGAGCGTGGGTGTGACGGTGGGTGGGGGCGTCACAGGAGCGTGGGTGTGACGGTGGGCGGGAGCGTCACAGGAGCGTGGGTGTGACGGTGGGCGGGAGCGTCACAGGAGCGTGGGTGTGTGACGGTGGGCGGGAGCGTCACAGGAGCGTGGGTGTGACGGTGGGCGGGAGCGTCACAGGAGCGTGGGTGTGACGGTGGGTGGGAGCGTCACAGGAGCGTGGGTGTGACGGTGGGTGGGGGCGTCACAGGAGCGTGGGTGTGACGGTGGGCGGGAGCGTCACAGGAGCGTGGGTGTGACGGTGGGCGGGAGCGTCACAGGAGCGTGGGTGTGACGGTGGGCGGGAGCGTCACAGGAGCGTGGGTGTGACGGTGGGCGGGAGCGTCACAGGAGCGTGGGTGTGACGGTGGGCGGGAGCGTCACAGGAGCGCGGGCGGAAGCAGCACTAAGATAAGCGCAATAATAAATGACGTCATAACTAGGTTTCCCGCCATTATACATGGCGCCTTAACGAGGGTTTCCGCCCCACTGAACTCCCTATCCTCGCATTACAAGCGTCACCCACACCCACAGTACCGTGGGAGATAACTCCCAGTGTCCCGTCCAGGTGGGAGACACCTCCCTGTGTCTCCTCCAGGTGGGAGACACCTCCCAGTGTCCCGTCCAGGTGGGAGACACCTCCCAGTGTCTCCTCCAGGTGGGAGACACCTCCCAGTGTCTCCTCCAGGTGGGAGACACCTCCCTGTGTCTCCTCCAGGTGGGAGACACCTCCCAGTGTCTCCTCCAGGTGGGAGACACCTCCCAGTGTCTCCTCCAGGTGGGAGACACCTCCCAGTGTCTCCTCCAGGTGGGAGACACCTCCCAGTGTCTCCTCCAGGTGGGAGACACCTCCCAGTGTCTCCTCCAGGTGGGAGACACCTCCCTGTGTCTCCTGGACTACGTCGGGCGTGTCACGCTGGTCTCAGCCCCTTCATGGCTGAGCTGGGACGTCGAGGCAGGGCAGAGAGCGATGGTTGGCAACTACCTAAGATGCCCCCCGGTGGAGGCGGAGATAAATGAGCAAAAAGTTTCTTTCACCCTGATGCCCCTGTTACCTAGCAGTAAATAGGTACCCGGGAATTAGACAGCTGCTACGGGCTGCTTCCTGGGGGTGTGTAAGAAAAAGGAGGGCTAGTCGAGGACCGGGCCGCGGGGACGCTAAGCCCCGGAATCATCTCAAGATAACTTCCTGTTCCTCTTAAAAATTACGTCTGAATTTGGATGATTTGCCCGTATGGCCGAAATGGACTTAATTTGAAGATGAAAAATATTTGAAAATAATTTTGGGATTTTTTTTCTCTAAGGTAAGGGTCCTCTGGTAAGTTAGGAGGACAGGAAATTCTAAAGTTTAAAACGGTCATGAAAAACGTTAATTGAAAGTTTCCTCTCCAAACCTAACCGAGTAAGCCAGAGGACTCAACAATAAAACGGGACAGTACGTCACTTTCGTGAGCCGATTTCATTTCAAATTACGTCCAACATTTTTGGCCATAGCGCGCATACGAAGGAAAAGCGACGTTATGTTAAGAGGACGGGTTGCGTCAAGTGTGTAGCGGAGACTGGTATAAGCCCACTGGAATTTTCAAGTTTTCAGAGTACAAAGAGGAGACGACTGTCAGTTTAACTCCTATAGATAATGTCAGTATTATTTTTGTTGTGATAATTCATTTTCATTTCGTGTGACTAGGCTAATGTTGAATTGGATTGTTTAAGATTTAGTTTTACAGTTTCTTCCTCTGGAGGAGCCTAGTCCCAGGTAGTGGAAGCCCCTCTCCTACACAGAGAGGTGTAGAGCCCCGCGGTTAGCTCTTTTAGTTCCCAGGGCCCAGATTCACGAAGGAGTTACGCAAGCACTTACGAACGTGTACATCTTTCCTCAATCTTTGACGGCTTTGGTTACATTTATTAAACAGTTTACAAGCATGAAAACTTGCCAATCAACTGTTGTTATTGTTATAAACAGCCTCCTGGTGCTTCCGAGCTCATTAACTGTTTAATAATTGTAAACAAAGCCGCCAAAGATTGAGAAAAGATGGACAGGTTCGTAAGTGCTTTCGTGAATCTGTTCCCAGTTCTTTTCCTTGAGGGTTCGCTGTGAGGTCGTCTCTGGCTCGTGTGCTTGGCGGTACCCAGCGTGCAGGTTCGAATCCTCCCCATGACTCCAATAGCAGCAATAATAATAATAATAATAATAAAATATATGCATAATTAAGTACATGTAATCCACACGATTCAAAAGCGAACTTCCAGACAATACAGAAAAAGGTGAACTTGTTGGATATTGAACATCTCATGTAAACTCGTATATAATGTTCACCATTTGTTCAATACAACACGGATATAGTACACTAAGAGGTATACCCAGCTTCTCCATGTATATACAGTAATATTAATTGATGACTGTTACCGCCGGAGTTTATTGTGCACCCCATACTCACCCTGTGAGCGGTAGTTTATTGTGCACCCCATACTCACCCTGTGAGCGGTAGTTTATTGTGCACCCCATACTCACCCTGTGTGCGGTAGTTTATTGTGCACCCCATACTCACCCTGTGAGCGGTAGTTTATTGTGCACCCCATACTCACCCTGTGAGCGGTAGTTTATTGTGCACCCCATACTCACCCTGTGAGCGGTAGTTTATTGTGCACCCCATACTCACCCTGTGAGCGGTAGTTTATTGTGCACCCCATACTCACCCTGTGAGCGGTAGTTTATTGTGCACCCCATACTCACCCTGTGAGCGGTAAAGCAAAAAATCATTACAGAGGACACAAAATGTCTTTATCATACCTCAACGGAGATTATTACATTAACAATTACATCCTACACACCATATAATTATACTGGCAGCTAGTTACAGAGATTGTTCCATTTCAATAACTATGCATTTACAGTTGATTATTAAACATTCGTGTAGGTATTTTCGCTAATACATAATTGTTTAAGGTATGGAGATATTACAGGGTCATAATAGAGCTGCTGTTTAACTAAGTCTTCACAAATACACTACTTGCTTCTTAATCTCATATGTCGTTTATCTACTGGAAGCGAAACATGGATACAGTGCAAGGATTTCAGATATTTTATCATTAGTAATAAGATAGTTTGCCATTTCATGCTGCGTGAGTTTAGATTTATATCTAAATGGCTCAATTTTATCACAGTCTAAGATATAATGTTGTGTCCACACACTTTACTTTATCCAGATCCCTATAGAAGCCCAACTGCCAGTTACTTGCAGCCAAGTCGTATTCGAGCTGTGACAACGTCTGTTAGTTTTAGTCCTGGGCAATGTTCAGGACTAAAGTATACTTGTTGGTTGGTCAGTAAGGTGTTGTGACGGCAGTAAAGATCCTACAGATTGATAGGCTAAGCCCACACGAACTTGCCACAAGTACCCTCACAATATGGTCGTCGGCATTCGGCTGGAGGGCCGCTAGAGCACCTCCGCCGTCCTGGCTATATATAAGCCAGCATGACGTACACACTAGCGCCTCGCTGCTCAACTTCCCTTGGATACTTTCATATATGGGTTGACCCAGAAGCCTTGGCGGGAAAATCGAACTCGACCACCTGTTTTTACCGAGCGAATATGCCACTATCAACCAGATAAATAACACTGCTCTTGTGTCAGCCCGTCCTCCCAACGCCAAGAAAACGGTCAGTTTTAAGTGGCCTCTTCTAACCTGCCAGAAGACCCACAACAGATGCAGGCGAGGAGTCACAATAACGTGGTTGAAGTATGTTGACCAGACCACACACTAGAAGGTGAAGGGACGACGACGTTTCGGTCCCTCCTGGACCATTCACAATCGACTTGAGAATGGTCCAGGACGGATCGAAACGTCGTCGTCCCTTCACCTTCTAGTGTGTGATCTGGTCAACCCAAAACAGAAAACTGGACAGTGCGTCACTTTCGCCAGCCGCTTCCATTTTTCTAGTACGACAACTTTCGGCCTTTTGTAACGCATACGAGCGAAAAGCGACGTTCTTTGTAGGAAGACAGATTGCTTGTGTACCAAACTTCCCATAGTGTTTACATGACCCATCAACACAACCGTCCCACGTCCACGATGAAACTATCCAACGACCTCACTTCTTCTTGGTCAAGCTGGCTATGATGAAGTATCACGGATGTTATCCCTTAAACTGCGCAGCTTTTTTTTTTTTTTAGAAGTACTACGACGAGGTGCAGGTGACAAAAAATAAGCTAGGAAATCAAATGAGAAAAAACGCGGATAACGATGGAAGTACTGTAAGGGATATTGATAAAAATGAGATGTTTTTATGAAAATGTGAGAGATACGTGTTTAATATTTATCCCATGGAGCGGCAGTGTTTCGTAAGTACTCACCGGCAGGTGTTGGTCAGCTGGCAGGTGTTGGTCAGCTGGCAGGTGTTTGTCTACTGGGTGGTGTTGGCGTGCTGACAGATGTTGATCAGCTGCCAGGTGAAGGGCGGAGAAATGATGCAAGGGCGCTCTCCATTTCTGAATCTTAACAGGTGTGCCATGGTGGGATACAGGTGTGCCAGGGTGGGATACAGGTGTGCCAGGGTGGGATACAGGTGTGCCAGGGTGGGATACAGGTGTGCCAGGGTGGGATACAGGTGTGCCAGGGTGGGATACAGGTGTGCCAGGATGGCAGGTATGCAGCAGGATCAACACAGTCCTCAGAAGCACCATGACGGTGTCTGATTCAGTGCCCCTTGGTCTCCGAGCGTCGGGTTCAGTGTCATTATTGTTGTGTGTCATTCGTTTGCTGAATACATCTCTGGATTGTCAGTACCGGTTGCTGGTTGGTCACTAACACCTGTGGCTCTGTCCCAGTTCGTGGGCACCTGTACCTAACGCACCTGTACTGCTGGTATCTGTTGAAGGATTGTTTATTGACACCTGTTTAAGGTTTGTTTGCTGTAACCTGTTAGAGGTTAATTTGTCGTCAGCTGTTGGAGGTTTCTTGACACCTGTTGGAGGTTTCTTGACACCTGTTGGAGGTTTCTTGACACCTGTTGGAGGTTTCTTGATACCTGTTGGAGGTTTCTTGACACCTGTTGGAGGTTTCTTGACACCTGTTGGAGGTTTCTTGACACCTGTTGGAGGTTTCTTGATACCTGTTGGAGGTTTCTTGACACCTGTTGGAGGTTTCTTGACACCTGTTGGAGGTTTCTTGACACCTGTTGGAGGTTTCTTGACACCTGTTGGAGGTTTCTTGACACCTGTTGGAGGTTTCTTGACACCTGTTGGAGGTGTGTTGGTTAAACTATTGCGTTCTAGGATCAAAAGAGAGAAACCTGTCGCAAACAAATCAAGACGACACACTTATAGAAGCTCAGACGACAACGGAAGCTACCCATCACAGGTAAGCAGGTCAGCACAGGTGAACAGTGACACAAGGTCAGCACAGGTGGGCAGTGCCACGAGGTCAGCACAGGTGGGCAGTGACACGAGGTCAGCACAGGTGGGCAGTGACACGAGGTCAGCACAGGTGGGCAGTGACACGAGGTCAGCACAGGTGGGCAGTGACACGAGGTCAGCACAGGTGGGCAGTGACACGAGGTCAGCACAGGTGGGCAGTGCCACGAGGTCAGCACAGGTGGGCAGTGACACGAGGTCAGCACAGGTGGGCAGTGACACGAGGTCAGCACAGGTGGGCAGTGACACGAGGTCAGCACAGGTGGGCAGTGACACGAGGTCAGCACAGGTGGGCAGTGACACGAGGTCAGCACAGGTGGGCAGTGCCACGAGGTCAGCACAGGTGGGCAGTGCCACGAGGTCAGCACAGGTGGGCAGTGCCACGAGGTCAGCACAGGTGGGCAGTGCCACGAGGTCAGCACAGGTGGGCAGTGCCACGAGGTCAGCACAGGTGGGCAGTGACACGAGGTCAGCACAGGTGGACAGTGACACGAGGTCAGCACAGGTGGGCAGTGACACGAGGTCAGCACAGGTGGGCAGTGACACGAGGTCAGCACAGGTGGGCAGTGCCACGAGGTCAGCACATGCGGACAGTGAGACAAGGAGGCTGGGAGCGGGGAGCAGCTCTCCGAGGGAAGGCGCGGACGTCAACTGAGGCTCCGGGGCCCGCCATCACCAGCCGTCAACTCTGCCACCGCCGGGGAAACTTCTCCTTGATGACAGATCCCGCCTGAGGGGGTGTTGCTCTGCCCACACCAGCCGCCCTTATCCTCTCTCTTCCCTCTTCTCCCCTTTCTTCCCATCTCCTCCCCTGTCTTCCCTCTCATTCCCGTCATCCGTCTCTCAGAGAGAGTCCTGTGAGAGCCCAGGAGATGGGAGAAGGGTGCAGAAGAGAGCCCGGGAAAGGACGTGGGAAGAGGACTTAGATGAGAGGGGTGTACGAGAGTGAGGGAGAGAGGGAGAGGGCGAGTGAGAGCCCAGGAGAGGGGGGGGGCGTGAGAGAGCCCTGGGGGAGTGGGAAAGGGGGAGTGGGGGGGGGGGTTACCACAGGATCAAAGAAGCGAGTGGTCAGTGGCCACTAGATTATCGCTTTTTTATGTGTGAATCTTTTGATCTTCATCTCTGGCTTTGTGTCTCATCTTTTCCCCTCTAACTCATTATTTAATTTTTTTTGTATTAATATTTTTATGACGAAGACTTTCTGGTTCCTTTGTCGGTGATGTTCTCTTTAAACTTGCTTTAAACTCGAGAGTGTTGAAATAGAGGGAATACAGAGAACATATACGGCACGCATAGACCAGATAAAGCACCTAAATTATTGGAACCCGGAAGCTGAGCGGACAGAACACTGGACGCGTGATCCTGTGGTCCCGGGTTCGATCCCGGGCGCCGGCGAGAAACAATGGGCATAGTTTCTTTCACCCAGATGCCCCTGTTACCTAGCAGTAAATAGGTACCTGGGAGTTAGTCAGCTGTCACGGGCTGCTACCTGGGGGTGGAGGCCTGGTCGAGAACCGGGCCGCGGGAACACTAAGCCCCGAAATCATCTCAAGATAACCTCAAGATAGATCGTCTCAAAGCTCTCCAAATGTACTCACTAGAAAGGAGACGAGAGATATACCAAATAATATACACGTGGAAAATACTGGAGGGCCAGGTCCCAAATCTACACAGTAAAATAACAACGTACTGGAGTGAACGATATGGAAGAAAATGCAGAATAGAACCAGTGAAGAGCAGAGGTGCCATAGGCACAATCAGAGAACACTGTATAAACATCAGAGGTCCGCGGTTGTTCAAAGTCCTACCAGCGAGCATCAGAAATATTGCCGGAACAACCGTGGACATCTTCAAGAGAAAACTAGATAGTTTCCTCCAAGTAGTGCCGGACCAACCGGGCTGTGGTGAGTATGTGGGCCTGCGGGCCTCTCCAAGCAACAGCCTGGTGGACCAAACTCTCACAAGTCAAGCTGTCACGAATCTTATTACGATTCTGCCAATTCTCCCGAACCTCGTATTATGTTATTGTTTTCTCTACGTAAATATTGCTGTCAGTTGTATAAGATTTGTGTATATAGATATATATACATTATATATATATATATATATAACATAGATAGCTGGGTAGTGTGTGTAAGGTTTGTTTTGGTGGTGGATGTCACGTGAAATTAGCCGTGTGGGCGGTTGACAATATTTGGGAATGGCCAGGGCGATTGTTGCCAAATCAATTGCCTATAGTTTTATATTTATTTATTCCCATATTTGGTAGCCATAATATTTAAAGGAATGTGAGACCAGTAATTACAACTCTTAGTTAATAATGTTGGAGTTTAGGGCTGACCTTTGTAAATAGAATGTTCACAATGTTCATGCGAACGTTAATTGGTGTTTGGGTAGACGGTTAGTCGACGTTGGGCCTGCGGACCCCGTCCTGGGCAGCACAGTGGCGGCTGCGGTCGAGTGCAGTTGTGTTTAAGCTAAGTTCTTGGTTTTTGTTATTTTAAGCCCATATAAATATTAATTTATCTGGATAGACGATTTTAGTGTATTTATGGATTACTCCATATTCTGGTGATAGTGCTCAGGTCTCAAATAATTACTTGCATTCTATAGTATTACATGCTGATAAATATTTCTGGCTACTATTTATTTAATTGTTGTTAAGTTGTCACCCTTAGCAAAATATATTGTTCTCCCGTTTTTATACAGTGATTAATTATACCCCTAGACACCTATTGGCATGGCAGATTGTTATTTGTTCTTTACACTGTGGGGAGAAGAACATTATTTAGTCTCAAGGGTCGTGACACAAGCCTGGCCTCGGGCCGGGCTTGGGGAGTAGAAGAACTCCCAGAACCCCATCAACCAGGTATATGTGGGCCTGCGGACCGCTCCAAGCAACAGCCTGGTGGACCAAACTCTCACAAGTCAAGCCTGGCCTCGGGCCGGGCTTGGGGAGTAGAAGAACTCCCAGAACCCCATCAACCAGGTATCAACTTAATTTGAATCCGTTTTCCTTTGCTGTTTGTGGCTTGCGGCCCGCGATGTCTGCCTCAACCTTCACAAACACTAACCAAACACCTTGCAGCCACCAGACTAATGTTAACATTTTAGCAAACGGTTCACTTGGGAAGACAAACACTCAGAGGAATTGACAGGGTAGATAAAGACAGACTATTAAACACAAGGGCACACGCACTAGGGGGCACAGGTGGAAATTGAGTGCACAAATGAGCCACAGAGATATTAGCTTTTTTTCAGAGAGTAGTAGACAAATGGAATGCATTAAGCAGTAATGTGGTGGAGGCTGACTCCATACACAGTTTCAAGTGTAGATATGATAGAGCTCAGTAGGCTCAGGAACCTGTACACCAGTTGATTGACAGTTGAATAGTGAACTGAATAGTTTACTTGGGAAGACATACACTCAACACAGCAGCCCGTTTTCCATAACGTTCCCATCCTCGCTAAATTGCTCGAACTTAACCTACCCGAGGGCCCAGGAACAGAAAACTGGAAATCGCGTCATTTTAGCGAGCCGCTATGATTTGGTTCAGAGTTTTTGGTCTTAAGGAAATTATACGTCAAAATTCAGGAGTACTTGTTGTAGACTCCGTGAAAGGTTTACACCATGGGTCCCTGAGTCTTTAGTAAACAAGAGTCCGCGTCGCAGTTGTCAGCCGAACACCGCTGTGAGTACTCACCTAGTTGTGCTTTGGGCCCGCCTTTCAACTATCAATCAACTGTTTGTTTTTCTCCACAGACACACACCCAGGAAGCAGCTCTCTAATCTCGGGTACCTATTTACTGCTAGGTGAACAGAGGTGTTAGGGTGAAAGAAACTGTCCATTTGTTTCCGCCTCCGCCGGGGATCGATCCCCGGTTCCTAGGACTATGAATCCCTAGCACTGTCTACTCAGCCGTCAGGCCCCACATGAGTGGTCGTCGGCTTGTGAGACGAAATGTATAGTTCTTGACACTGTCCGCCAGGTGGCAGGGGGCGGGAAGCACCGTGACACTGTCCGCCAGGTGGCAGGGGGCGGGAAGCACCGTGACACTGTCCGCCAGGTGGCAGGGGGCGGGAAGCACCGTGAGAATCTCTAACTAGCTAGTGGCACTAAACGTTGAATTGTATCGTGAAGATACTGTAGAACATGAACTCTTTCCCAGAGTTTACCAGCACACGTCAAGCTGAGGCCGGTAACTACAATGTTAACTTCCTGTACATACGTTGTGTGTTTACTCTTGTGCAAGTGCTTCTCTATCAGGTAATCTTATTTAACGACTCCTGGTTCAACCTTGAAGCCGAGCGGACGTCTGGCTACCTTCTCCGTCTGGGAGCCGCCTGTTCACGTCCTGTTTTCGCGTTTTGGCTTTGCTGCTGCCGTTTGGCTTCCCTTTTCAACGGTCTGCTTGTACGACGCTTGGCGCACATTATCTTGAGTTATCTTGAGATGATTTCGGGGCTTTAGTGTCCCCGCGGCCCGGTCCTCGACCAGGCCTCCACCCCCAGGAAGCAGCCCGTGACAGCTGACTAACACCCAGGTACCTATTTTACTGCTAGGTAACAGGGGCATAGGGTTGTAACGGGAGGTGGGGGAAATAGCTCTATCTTGTCCATTATTCCACCCCCCAGTTAACTAACGAGGCCGGGGGAAACAGCTCTCTCTAGTCCGTTATCCCGTCCCCAGTTAGCTAACTATTCTAGGGCACTCCCAGAGTTCCTAAGGCAACCTCTCTCGTTCAACACCTTGTAAC